CGTCGTCGTTCGCGTCGTCGTCGTGTCGTTAGTGTGTGTGTGTGTGTGTGTGTGTGTGTGTGTGTGTGTGTGTGTGTGTGTGTGTGTGTGTGTGTGTGTGTGTGTGTGTGTGTGTGTGTGTGTGTGTGTGTGGTGCAAAGGAACTAGAGCTGAAATAACCTGCATCCCCCAAAGTCCCTACTGCCTTCATCAATAAAACAGAATATAGACAGGGAAAAAGAAACCGAGAGAGAATCAGACACAGAGGTAGACACACAGAGAGTCTAACACCAGTATAAAAACTACCTCATGTTTTATTGATTAAAAATGAGGAAAGTAAGACCTCCTCACGAGACATAATATATTTAGCTGCCTGCTAAAATGTGATTTTGTGATAATTAAATCTGATGAAACTTCAAACTGGTGGAAGCGTATAATCAGGTAGCATCAGGTACCATGTTTGGTAAGATTATATTTTACAGCTATGTTTTTTCCTTTTGATGTCTTGAACGTTGTCTTGGGAAAATGGGGTCAGGTAATAATAAAAGTGGAAAGAACAGCAACAATCCAAATGTTTGTCTTGACATGCCTTCCAAAAAGTCACATGAATGCGTTTTGGATCTGATTCAGAGATGTTCTCATGATGACATTATTTGACTGTGTCTTCAAGGTAAATCACTGTTGGGTTGTCACTTGAATATACTGTAACTTTGTTGTTGTTGCTTTAGGGCATTTACAGAAAAGGTTGATGCCATTGTTTCATTTTGAAAGGACAGCTATAAAAAAAGAAATATTTGTAGGAATGTAAACTGTACTGAGTTTTGAGTTTATCTTTTTTGCAGGAACTTCCTTTAAGGAAATGCTCAAACAAAACCTAAGTAAATATTTATTCATTGTTAATTTGTTATTGGAAACCTTTTTTTTTTTTTATAAATGTTGAATTATAGGCTTTTGTGGACAGGTTCACATTTTTTCCAGCTGACTAAAATGTGTACAATTTTTTTTTTGTGTACCTATCATTGGTCCCAGAACACATTCACCATTCCAGGAAATGCTGCGTAAATGAACCAGTGTTACAAAATCTTTGTAATCTACAATTGTGCAGGCTTTTTTATTTGTAAATAAGACGTATTGTGAATAATATGTCTTTCTTCTATGAGCAGAATTGATAAAGCAGTTGCAGTGGAACTGTATCAGCGGTTGCACTGATTAGTGAGACATTGGGGTCTGCAGAGGGATGGGGAGCAGATCAACAATAATGTAATCATTTATTATGATAAATTGTAATGTTCCCAAATAGTGAAATACATGAGAGAAGGAGACATCATGTGAAAGGTTACAGTATATATCCTTCAGGGCATATAAAGTGCAGGCTTACATTTACCTTAGTGGGTCTACAGATACATACAATAGTAAGTAAAGGGCAGCTGTCAGATTTGAGTGTATACATAACCTTATAGAATAAGATATGGAGTAGAATAGACAAGAAAGCTCTCATTGGGAGAGTTTCACACATCCCCTAATGATTTTGCAGCAACCAGGTCACACTAATGTGTAGCTTTATTAATGGCCACAGCTATGTAAGTATACCTCTAAATCAATTACCTGCTCTCCACATTACAGTTGTTTTAATCATGTGGGACCCTATCTAATTACCGAGTGAGGGAACACACAGTAATTGCTGGATGTGTAAAGTAGTAAGAAATGTGTTAAGTAGGGGCAGGGCTGAATTTACATTAGTGGGTCCACAGAGACATAAAGTAAAGGGCAGCTGTCAGAAGAGAGAGTATAAATATCCTTCATTTCTATCATTTTGTCACCAAGAGAGAAATATACAGAAAGAAATAAGAGCAGCAGTATTTTCAGAGGACCACAAATCCCAAAAGGACTTTTTTTAGACTACTTTAATGGATCGTTTATTATTTAAGGCCACGTGCAAAGTCAACTCTAAATCAATTAGCAGCTCTCGGTACTCAAGGCGTTTTAATTCCTATGTGGGATCCTCTAAAATGTAATTACTCGAGTGAAGGAACACACGGTAATCACCGCAGAGTGTAACAGAAACGCCAGGCCATCTTTTACACCTTTTCCCAGCGAGTGCTGTGGACATTTTAAACACTTTAGTATATTTGTGTTGCTTTTCGCACAGCCAGCAACCTATAGTCCGAACTGCAATGCGGTTCTCTCTAGGTTTTCACCGAATATACTCGTGAGATTCTTGCATGTACATGCACTTTATTTCAGAGGCGAGTATGCTAGGTAAATCCCTAGAATGCTACTTACTGTATGGCAGTGATTCATCAACTGGGATTGGGACCTTTTTGTAATGCACCATTGGTGGAGGTCTGCCTTCTCAGGGTGACATTCTCGCTGATACCGTTTGTTTAACATTTAGAAACTGTAAATTGGATACAATATATTATATTCTCAGACTGAGGGTCAGATCTCATTCAACAAACTCACTCGAAAAATCCCCGGAGCAATTTAAAACCATAATATTCAGTTTGGAGAAGCAAATGTTCCTTGGCATGGCGGCTACTTAAAATGCATTGAAATTGATATCTAGCACGGAGTACTGCAGAGATTGGTATCATTTTTCAGCGACCAGTGAGACACGATTCTAAGCCTTCATAGAGCCTTCAAACCCCAGCCAAAGCGTCAATGTTATATTATATATAACTACATCGATCGTATCCTGGTAGCCTGTCATGGCATATCAGGTCTGTTATCACTTTGAACCTTTCTCTATCTTTCCCTGTTCTGGAAGAAAATAAATCCCCAGATGTAAACATTGTCAGCTGCTTAATAACAAACAATAAAACCAAAAAACATTATTGGTCATTAAGACAAAAATATTCACTGTGAATTGGGCTCAGACTCTGGTGCAGTGTATATAAAATTACAATGACACATTATGGAGACTTACTGTGTTTAGAATAGGACATTATGGGTGAAAGAGAAGAGGGAAGGACACACACATACATGTCACCTTGCTTCGGTGGCGTTTCCTCTGAGGAGAGGTTCATCTTACCCGTTATACACATGCAAACAGTCCTAACACCCCGCAACACACACACACACACTGAATATACATGCATGAACACACACAGCAGCCCACAGCACTCGACACCGTTAATCTTTCACGCACCAACAGCCTCACCTCGACAAATCTGAGTGTCCCCTTTTTCAGTATTTAAAGCTGATTGGTCATTTATGTGCAGTAACCAGAAACAGCGACTTCCCTTAAGACAATGATTTATCTGTGGGATGTTGGAGGAGTTATTCTATATAACCTTGAAATGATCCTGGCCTGATTTCTTTGCAAGACTTGTAGGAACCTTGGTATTAAAATTCATTATGAAACTGATTAACTCATAGTGTCATAATCATTTTCCGATACGCATGTTTCCTAATGAAATCTACAATTATACAGTCAAGGACACCATGTTCAAAAAGATGCTAGGAGCGTGGCTCAAGAGATTTCAAAGAAAGTGTTCCACCACTTTGGTTTTAACTGAAATATCTCATCTATTAAAGAGATTGGCATGACACTTCGTACAGGAAATATTAGTCCCTCGGATGATTTGTAATCACCTGGCATTTTCTTTCAGTAATATCATTAAGTCAGAAATATATTGTGTCCAATGCCTTAGGTCATAATAACTAAATATCTGTTTGTGTCTGGGGTATTTTGTGTTTATGGCTGATTGGCCACCGTAAGCATGCTAACAAGCTTAAAAAGACAGTAAGCATAGCTAACAAAATATGTGTGTAACAATAGCATTTTAGCATTGTCGCTATAAGCATTTAGCTTTAAGCACAGCTATGCCTCAAAGTGGATAACAAATAATTGCTAGGTTGCAGAATTATATTATTGTTATCATCTGTTTGGTAAGGATGGAATTAAACATATGAACTATAAGAGCAGTTTTATGAAACTAATTGAGCTATTTCTGCTTTTTGACTTGTCTAGATATTCAGAGAAATATGTTTTTGCACTAAGTTGAAGTTTGCAGTAGAGCGCATCTCTAAATTATAGCTAATTATACTTGATGATTATTGCATCATTTCACTCACATGTACTGTATCTCAAGTGATTATCAGGACATGCAGGCCTCTTGTGATTTAATCAAATGACAGGCCATTATCCTCACTATCCTCACAAAACACAAAATAACAGTGGATGCACACTTAATTTATGCTAATGACAGTCATGCCTATGGGTGACTACTTTAACATTTAACAAGGGTGACGGCAAGCAGTGTAATGCCATGTTTTCTTGTTTTGTCTATTAAATCCACGTTTCACAAACAGGATCTTTGTTGCCATCGAGGTTACCAAAACATTGTCATATATTCAATAAAACAGGGAGTCTAAGCAATCAATTAGCTTGTTTCTCTTTCAGACTTGTACACAGCTGACACTTGTTTGACTACTGGATATGACCTTTGGCCTCTCGCTGCCTACAAAGTCTGACCTCAGCCCTGCTCTGTGTGAGTCAGTCTGTAAGAGGGTGTGAGAAGTTCAAGGTGATTCTGTTCAAGCTGCTGCTGCCTTTTCCTTCCAGGCCACTTGCACATAGTTCAGGTCAGATGTTCCTTTCATGCATGGTATGTCAGCTGCAGTTTCCTCTTTGCTTTGGGTTTTCTTTGGCCAGATAAGAAGACAACCATGAACAATAATGAACAATGTAATGTTTGGGTGCTCATTGTTCGTTATATTGTATTGCATAACTTACATGTAATTTAATGTCTTGAACAATTTCGTGCACAAGATAGAAAATGACAAAAATGACCTTTGAAAAAGATCAAAAATAACCCTTAAGTTTAAAGTTCTGACCCTGCAAATCAGGAATACTTAAACTGATGATAGATAAAAAACCGACAGTGAAGCCAACATGGCAACAAATCCAAGATTCCTCTGGCCCTTTTCTTTTAAACACTCCTGTTACAGGATAAGCAACCATTGTCAAAATCATAGTGGTATCTTAATGCGAGTCTCTCAGATATATTTTGTGTCTCTGTGTTTCTAAATGTTTTTATTAAAAGTTCAATGAGAATTCAACCTGTTGCCCCTCGCAACAAAGCAAGGCAACCTCTTGGTCTCTGTTTATTGTAGATTTTTCAGTTTTGCTAAAAGTAATGCTAAAGGCTGCTAACGCAAGTTGACATCAGCTACTGTATAGTTAATGTAGCTGTTGGCAGTGCTGTTAGATATAAGATTACCGGAGGAGTGTTAGTGTTTACACAGCTAGCCCAGGACCTATTGATCACTGGGAGGAGGAGGTTTTCAGGCTAGCTGTGGGTCGGGAATCTGAAGGGGAATGGCATCAGTATCATGCCAGAGCCAGGCAGGCGGGTAATGGAGCCAGGTCAGTAATAGTAGCTGGTTTGCAATGTCAAGTTTTGTAGCATTTGCTTGATGTTTGGCTATTTGAGCCAACTAGTTTTTGATCATACAAAGGTAATGTTATCAAAACACATGCTCAAGTTATGTGAGACTTAGGGTTGTAAACTACGAGAATACAGAATACTTCATTAGATTGCTTTAGTCATCAGTGTAATCATTAGGGCTGCTCTCCTTGTCTTTGTTTTCCATTGTATTGATCTCTAAAGAGCTCCAATGTGACTCATCTGGAGCCAGCGACCTAGCGTTTAATCAATATTTCGAATGCTGTGATTCTTGTGAAGAAAGGACCCTTAAAGTGTAGCTGGAAAAGGAGTGACACTGCTTCTGGGCTTTGCAGCGGAAAGTGAGGGCGGACGGGGTGATTCAGAGAAGCCTAAACAACCAGGACAGGCAAGGACAGGAGGACAGAGGAATACACACACACACACGCAGAAAATCGAAACAGTTGACAGGTGATGGATGTGTTTGTGTTTGTGGGTTAGACAGGATATGTAGTGCTTGCTGGATAATCTAATTGTGATTTTTCTTCCAATGTGATAACCTCTCTTTCAGCACCTGGCACACACAAAACGAGGAGCAGACAGCTGAGATAAGCCCTTATAATGGTGGTGTCACACTGAAGGACACTAGACAATCAGTCACCTCTGAACACTGTGTGTGTGTGTGTGTGTGTGTGTGTGTGTGTGTGTGTGTGTGTGTGTGTGTGTGTGTGTGTGTGTGTGTGTGTGTGTGTGTGTGTGTGTGTGTGTGTGAGTTTGTGGTACCTGACGTATAGGGTGCGTTTCTGTGTGGAGCGAAGCGACGTGGAGCTGGAGCTGACACTGCTGGTCATCATCTGTTCCCTTAGGTCATGGATCTTCGCCTCAAAACGACTGTACTCTACACACACAGATACAAAAAAACACTGTTAGCAGAATTCAGCTTTTTAAATTAATAATTTCACAAACTATTGAATAGTTTATAGAGAATCTGATTAACAAGCTACCTATTAATCTACATTAGAAGCTACTGAGCAATAATGATTGAGTGGTACAACAAGTACAAGACGCATTTTAAGATGTGAATAGAATTTCAAATAGTTTGTTCTCCTTGGCCAATTGCAGACAGAGTTCTCTCAGTGTTGTGTGCTTAGCTTTGAACACACACACACACACACACACACACA